TACCTAAAAATTTACAGGTAGAGGGAGAATGAGACAGAGGGAGAGCAGGAGAGCAATAGATGGGGAGGGAGACTGGGGGAGAGAGAGAGAGAATGGGGGCAAGACAGAGGGAGAACGGGAGAGAGTTATAGAGTGAGAGCGATGAGGGAGAACAGAAGAGAGGGAGAACGAGACAGAGGGAGAGCAGGAGAGCGATAGAGGGGGAGGGAGACCGGGAGAGACTGATAAAGGGAGAGGGTGAGGGTGCCACAAAGGGAGAGCAAGACTGAGGGGGGCGAGAACAGGAGAAAGTGAGGGCAACAGGGGGAGAGGGAGAACGAGACAGAGGGAGAGCACGAGAGCGATAGAGGGGGAGGGAGACCGGGAGAGAGAGAGAGAGAGAGAGAGAGAGAATGGGGACGAGACAGAGGGAGAATGGGAGAGAGTTATAGAGTGAGAGTGAGGAGGGAGAACAGGAGAGAGGGAGAGCAACCGAAGTTCAATCGTCTGCAATCGAAGAGAAGAGAGTTGCGAGTGTGAGAGAACGAAAGAGAGAGAACAGGGAGGGCGGGAGAGAACAATGGTCGTGGGCCCTAACAAGGTCATTTTAATCTTTGCAATTTAAGGGTAAATTTCAAAATAAAATTTTAAATAAATGTTATTGTGACATGTAATCCGAGTTGGATTGCCACATCACAGGAAAAGCTTAGGTAGAAGTGTGATGCTTACATGGCGTGGGAATAGGTCTTATAATTTCAATAATTGAATTAGAGAGTAATTGTAAATTCTGTATGGGCTGGCCTGGTGTTCAGATTTCTGCAATGGGCCTGCTCGTACTTTTCCCTTTCCTTTTTACTAGAGCTCTCGTAATACTTAGGTCCTGACTTCCCAGCAATGTCCTTGGGTTATCTCGATCTGGTACATTCATGTTCTGAGAATCCTCATTTCTGGTTTCATCCATTTTCTCTTGGTGGACTTCCTCGCATTTAGAAATCTATCATCTTCATTCCCCAACCTCCGCTCTCAACCAAGGACTACCCACCCAATTTCTTGTGTGTTCTAAATCTTGTCTCCCTAACATCTCAGCCAACTCCTCTACTGCTTTCACACCATCTCCACCTTCTTCACATGATTTTTCAATATGGTCTAACTTATCGCATCTGTAGCAAAACATAGAGAGGTTCTCATATTGGAGAACTAACCTTCCTTACCATCCTCGAGCTCCCCTTTTGACTCTAGAGCTAGTGGTTTCCTTACATCCAATCTCACTCTGATTCTTAGACACTTGTTCCAGTCCGGTTTATTCCTCCTCATCCCTTCTTCTGGTTTGACATTTATCC